ATATATATAGTCAGGCTAATCAGAAAGGTACACAGAAGAAAGTGAAAATTATCCAATAATTTGAAAAGCCAGCGACACCTGACACTGTCATTTTGATGTCCATCATTCTAGAATCTGTGTATGTGTATATATACGTACAAATACATATATCTGGAAATTAAATGACTTGCCATCAAGTCAGTTCTGACTCATGGTAACACCATGTGTGTCAGAGTAGAACTTGCTCCATAGGGTTTTCAATGGCTGATTTTTTGAAAGTAGATCACCAGGCCTTTCTCCCAAGGCACCTCTGTATGGAACTGAACCACCAACATTTCGGTTAGCAGCAGAGCACATTAACTGTTCACACCACCCAGGTGTACCAGGGACTCCACTCAGGCACCTAGAACACCTAGAAGTAGACTTGCTTGGGGCAAAAGATGTGCTCATTTGTATTGATACATTTTGCATTGTAATATATAATTACAATAATGTGTAATTGTAATACAGTTTGTATTGTAATGTGCCGGTGATGTATGGATACATTTTGCCAAATTGCCCTCAAGAAATGCTGCATCAATTTACCTTCTCACTAGTGGCATTTAACAATAACCTCTTGCCCACAGCCTTCCCAATTTGGGGTATGATCGAGTCCATTCATCTTTGCCAATCTGATGAAGGAAAAAAATACTGTATTGCCCTTTTTACCATTGAAATTAACTATCTTTTCTTTTGTGAATTAGTTTTCATGGTCTATATACATGATGTATGAAAGTTGACTCTGCATGAAGTTATTGATCTTTTATGTATGGAGTTAAGAACATGCTCTAATTTTTAGTAGTTTGGAGTTCTCTCTCTTTTTCTCTCTATTGAAAGTAATACAGGAATAAACATTTTAGTACATAAAATGTGTTCTATATTTAGGATGATTTCCATACGATAGCATCTCAGAAGTAGTAGCTTTACACTTGGGTCAAGGCTATGAACATTTGTAAGGGTCTTGTTCTAAAGAGCCAAATTGTTAAAGTACTACCTCTGATAGACAAGTATACCTGTCTACCAAGTCCTTCAAGTCCCTGGTGGTGCAAACAGTTAATGCACTTGGCTGATAACCAACTGGCTGGTTGTTCAAGTCCACCCAGAGGTGCCTTGGAAGAAAGGCCTGGAGATCTACTTCTGAAAAAAATTAGCCATTGAAAACTCTATGGAAAACAGTTCTACTCCGACACACATGGGGTCACCATGAGCTGGAGTTGGCTTGATGGCAACTGGTTGGTTTACCAAATCCTTAACAGCTCAACACTTTTTGTCTTTAAAAAATTTTGGCTAAATTTATAAGCAATAAATAATACATCATTGCTGTTTTAACTACCGTTTCTTTGATTCAATTGTCTGTTGACTCACTGTTGAACCCATTTAAATTTGGACAATGGTCTAATTAGAATTGGTTGACTTCTAAGTATTGAATATTTTTAATAGCTTAATTTCAAACATAGCTTTGTTACCCTGCAGATTCACGGTTGCTTTAGTGAAGAAAGCCAGGAAACAAAGCCTTAACTGAACATTTACTGTGTGCCTACCACTGTGCATGACATATTAGAAATGTTCTCTTCCAATCCATACAACAACACAATGAGTTAGAGTTTATCTCCCTTTGCAGTGAGGAAAACAAAGCCCTGAGAGGTTTAACAATGTCTAACACCTTCGCTTGTAAGTGGTGGAGGTTAGATTCTTTTCTTTTTCACTTTTCATTAGGAAGAATTTCAAACATACATAAAAGGAGAAAGAATACCATAATGAATGACCATATGTTCAATAATTCTTAACATTTTACTATTGCTTCATCTTCCTGATTATTTTTGCTAAACTGTTTTGAAATAAATTAGAAACATCATGACATTTCACCCTAACGACTGTAGCATATAAGGCTATTCTCCTACACATCCTATTCTTGTTGTTGTTATTAGCTGATGTGGAGTTGGTCCCCAATTCATGGTGACCCCATGCACAACAGAACGAAATGCTGCCTCGTCCTTCACCATCCCAATGATCATTTGTGGATCAGACTGTTGTGATCTATAGACTCTTCATTTGCTGATTTTTAGAAGTAAATCACTTGGCCTTTCTTCCTAGTCCATCTTAGTCTGGAAGATCTGCTGAAACTTCTTCAGCATCATAGCAACAAGCAGTCCACCAGTGACAGAGGGGCAGTGCCTGCATATGAGGTTCACTAGCCAGGAATTGAAGCCGGGTCCCCCACATGGAAGGCAAGAATTCCACCACTGAACCATCAATGCCTCAGTCCATTATTATACCTATAAAAATAATAATTCCTTAATATTATCTAATATCTAGTCCTGATTCAAATTTCCTAAATTGTTCCCAAATCTCCTAGGACTTTTTTCCAAACCAGAATGGAGTAAAGAATCACTCCTTGCATTTGGTTTTTATGTCTCTAAATCTCTTTTAATCTAACCAATCCACCCACACTTTTCTTCATGACACTGACTTTATGAAGAGACCAGAGGGCTGTCTTGTAGAATGTCCTCACTTTCTGGATTTCTCTGATGGCTTCCTCACAGTGTTGTTTAACTTATTTCTCTATACCCTGTGATTCATACTAATTGGACATTAGATCTATACAGCAAATCAGATTCGGGTTAAACATTTTTGGCAAGAATATTTCACAGGAGATGCTGTGTATTTCATATTCATTATGGCAGAAGGCAATGTCTGGCCACCCTACTATCAGTGATGCTAAGTTGGATCACTGACAGTCAGATTCCTCCATTGTAAAGGTACATTTGTCCCTTTGTGACTAACAAGCAATCTTTGGAGTGACACTTTGGTACCATATAAATATGCAGTTATTTTTTTTTTAATAAACACTTTAACTTAATGATTTTAGCTTTAATTGATGATGATTGCCAGAATCAATTATTTCAATATTACTATCATATCAGCTTTATCATTCCTTCTCCTTTATTAGCTAGCATTCTTTTGAAGGATGCATTCTCCAGAAAAATACATATAGTAGGTAGCATATTCTTAAAAAGGTCTCCCTGGGTGGCACAAAGGGTTAAGACCCTGACTACTAGCCAAAAGGTTGGCAGTTCTGAAACCACCCAGACGCACCTTGAAAGACAGACCTGGCCATCTCTTTCTGAAAGGTCACAACCTTGAAAACCCTATGGAGCAGTTCAACTCTGCACATATGGGGTCGCCATAAGTCAGAATCGACTTGACTACAACTAAGAACAACAATTACAACATACTCTAAGAAGAGCTTTCCCTCATCGACCGGGATGAACTACAGTTTCTCCTAAAATGGAAGGGAATGTGCTTAATTCTTTCCTATAATCTCCAATGTTCTGGGAAGTCAGTCACCTCCATAGGCAACGAATGAGTTGTTTTGTGGTTGGTAATAGATTTCTTTTTTAATTGTTTTCCACGTATACAATTTAGTGAGATCAATTACATCAATCACATGGTGCAACCATCGCCAATGACCTTTGCCAAATTTTCCATCCCCATAAACAAAAACTCAATGCTGTCTAAACAACAATTTCCCCCAGCCCCCTTCCTGCCCACCCCTAGTAACTACTATTAAAGTCTGATCTATGTTTTTGTTTTGATTCTTTTTTATTATTATTATCTATATAGACTCATGGATTTTTATATTCAGGAATGTAAAAAGTCATATTCAATAACTTTTTGATGTTGCCTGAAGATGGGATTCAAATAGTGTGGATTTTCTCACTGCTTTTTCACAACTACCATCATTATTACTGGGGACCCAAACCTGTAATTCTGACTCTCTCATAAAATGTCTCACAGTCAAATAATTCTACAGACAATGTGAGAATCATCTTTTATTTAACTAAGGTTTGAATGTAAAGTTTAAGGCTTGTGAACCTGAAAACAGGAAGAAGATGTAAGATGTGGTTCTGTGCTTTAAAATCTTAGTTCTAAACCTTCCATAACTGTTCCAAAGACTGGGACAGTAAAGCACAGATCCATGAAGCAATCAGTTACAACCTCAAACAAACACAGAACTAGAACTGAGTCCTTGAGCAACAAATCCCAACAGTCCAGAAAAGAGTCATTTCTTACATTAGAGATTTAAACTTAAGATAAAATATTTAGAAAGCTTCAGATTTAGCAATCTTCTTATGGCTATTTTAATTTTTAAATATTTACTCTTTATAAAGAAATCAAAATTTATTTATGAAGGGATTTCATAAAGAAAAGTCTGATTATTATAAGAACTCAGTAATTCAGACTAATGTGTATGTTTGCAGAGGGCCAATAGGAGGAATAGGAGAAGATAAATAAATGAAAAATATGATTATAGCGGTTAAAAAAATAATGCAATCATATACCATTAAAGTATGCCAAACATATTCTTAATTTGTCATGTTACTTATTTTATACTATTAATATAACTATTATATTACACTTTTTCTTAAAAATGCTTTTCGTTCTCTCTTACCACATAAAAATTAACTTTAGGTCAATCTTTGTTGATTAGCACTATGATTGAGCAGAATCTAGATTACAGTTTTAACTATCTTTTCATTATAGAAGGACATAAGTATTTTAGAAGCTTAAAACTTAGCTCAAAATTAATTGTCCAGTCATACTTTAGGTCTGTGTCTGCTTTGCAATTTCCTGATTTTTAAACTCAATTTTCTATGTTTTTAAATGCTAGTTCAACATGTAATTATGAATGAGTTCTTCTTGGAAAAAATTAAAATATATTTCCTTTACAAAGTTATATTAATCATATTTCCTCAAACCTCTGAGTGCTGACCCTCAAAATCCACCTTTAGCTTAAAAATGAGAACTCAGAGTAAGTATATTTTCCAACCACTATGTTACTGCTCTACTTACATATGCAAATCAATGTCAATTCTTGTGATGATTTGAAAGTGCCAACAAAGCTTAACTTCACGTTCAAGAATGGAGCAATAAAAATTATTTTTAGACCACTGATATAGTAAAAGTTTTGGCTAGTGTACATTTTTTTAATTAACCTTAGATGCAAATTTTTATTATAATTACAATTTCTGAAAAGCAGAAGTTGCAATGTCTTTTCTCTGACTTCATTTAACAACTTAAAAAAAATCTCAAATAGAATTTTGTACCTGGAATGTCACTGCAATCCAGCAGTGACAAGCATTGTATCATTCTTTTACTCTGGGCCTTTAAAAAGTATTTAATACTCAGTTAAGGAGCTCTGTGGCTCAATGGTTAAGTGCTTGGCTGCTAACAGAAAGGCTGGCGATTCAAACCACCCAGCAGCTATGCAGGAGAAAGGACCTGGCGATCTGCTTCCGTAAAAATTACAGCCTAGAAAACCCTATGGGGGGAGTTCCACTCTATCATATGGGGGTCACCGTGAGCTGAAATCAACTCAAGGGCACCTAACGATAATAATACTCAATTAAACTTTATTTACCTTCAAAGACTTTCCATAATATTACATATGGATATTTTGTAAGCCCTTCCCAAGTAATGTAAAAAAAATCTAGGATTCATTTTCCATTAAGGAAAACTAAACAAAGCATTCTCCAGTTAAAAATCTTAAAGGAAAAGAATCCTTCTATAATTCATAGCTTCACTAAGATCAATGTTTTTTTGCCCTCCTATAAAAAATATGGCTGAATACTTCTCTGTCTGTAGTAATCATCCCTACAAGAGTTGGAAACTCTCTCTAATAGAGGGCGGTTAGATACTCAAGGGAACAAACTCTGATTACCACAGACAGTATTCCAGTTTCTAAAATCTTAAAAAAAGTTATCAAAGTCAAAACCAAGAAACCCACACAAAATGTGTTCACTAAGATGTTCTAATTTCTTAAATTCCAAAGAAGAGTCAGCAGATGAGATGTCTACAGATAAAAAAGACAAAAGTACATTCTATCAATGGCTGCAACTCAGACAGACTCCTCAGAGACCGGTCACTATCAAGACTGCTATCTGCTATACTGGGGGTTTTGAGAGACACCACCACCAACACCAATGGAGGGTGTAGGAGCAGATGTGCACGAGAAACACAAAGAGGAAATAGAAGTTTTTTGTTTTTTTTTAAGCACCAGGAAAGCACAATTTACAATAGGAAATGTTCCTGATATTCCCTAAAACACTAACCTTATTTGGGAGCTGGAGGCTGAATGCAGAGCCCTTGCCTTTAATACTGCTTACTTTAAGTTGGAACAATAAATGTTAACCAGGGAGCTTTTAGAAACTGGTAAACTACATTAAAAACTGAATTACATCCTAATGTCAGGCTTCTGCACCAAAGTATGAAATATTAAACAAGGAGATATAATAAACTTTTTTTTTTTTTCAGGAGGTCAAATCTGGTTATTTGCCTTTGCACCAAATTGGGTTCCATGTCTGGATTTCCACGTAAAATAACAAGCTATAATTACCAACTTTCCGGAGCTCAAAGGAAGATTCAAACTGGTGCCCAGTTGCCAGGAGAAGGACCGCATAATTAATTCCTGACTGTAGTGTTGGCTCAGATTCAAATGCCTTTTTGAACCTATAAAAAACAAATGTACAAGTTTATTTTCTTAATCATGAAATCCTGGGTGTGCAATAGCTTCTGTTTACATAACTCCAAAGCCTAAGCAAGTAAAAATATTCCACTGGCCTTCACCCCAGAATCTAGTGTGTTATTTAATTTAAGATTTAAGGCTTAAGTAACTGCATATCCTCACCTCCAGTTCCATTACATCTCCCCACTCAATTCATCCTCATCCGACTACTCCTAGCCTTTTTTAAACCCTCTCCTTAACAATCTACCAGAAATACGTGTAAGTGTGTGTGTGAGTGTGTCCACAAGTGTAAGCAGTGGAAATTAAAAAATGAAAATCTTGCATGTATTAAATGAAGTTTTTTTAAGCCTTAAAATATACAAAACGTTGAGAAGGATCATCTAGGTAACACACTGAAAGGATAAGTTCCATAACAGTGGTATAGAAACAAAATAAATAAGGTCAATTACAGTAAGAAATTAAGAAAAACAGGGACTGTGACTGTGCATACTAATTTTGGCTAGAAGAGAATAAGAACCCTTTTCTGAATATGCATGAAACTGAGTATCAACCTTTGAAAACATTTCAACATTTGAAATGACTTCAGTGTTTGTACACGCACTGTATGTTCAAGGTAACATTTCCTAGTATCTGTGTTAAGGATTTATTCACATGCATCATTGAAATAAGCAAAAAGTCCTTCAACATTCTTTCATTTGGGAGCATGGAAAAGAAGAAAATTATAAGAAACGCCCTAGTGATTAACAGAAATGCCTGAGATAAACACATAAAATATTAAATCTTGATTTTTTAAAAAAACATACTGAAGAAATTATAAGAACTAAGTACCTCATGAATGTCCATGTGATTACCCTCTAAAACTGCTTATGTAGGGAAAAATATATTTCAATTTCAAGATAAGGCATTCCTATTTAAATCTTAACTCTGAAAATAGAAACAGTAAAAGTAGTGGTGTGCATATTAATGTATATTATATTCCTGACTTTTACATATACTTGAAATATTCCATAATTTAAAACAAGCTAAACTTCAAAGGAAAAGAAAAGGTGCATTTTTCGGAATGTTGAGGATCATGTTCCCTTTCTAAAGGTTTTAATTTTAAGTGGAGCAATATCTATGAATGGAAACAAAAATGAAAAATCAAATAAGTACTAATCTTAACTTGTTAGCTCTTATAATTACATGCTTATGAATTAAGGAAAAAATCCTTCCAACTGCATCACTGTAGGTAGTTAAAAGCATTTTTTATCTCTCCAGATATTCAGGTGTTTCCCAACTCTAAAATGGAAAAAGTATGTACCCAGAATACAGATATTCAAAGCTAGTCATATCAAAGAACGATATGATTAATAATTGCTAGATAGGCTCACATAAGACTAAAAGTCTTTTTTCAGAGGCAAGTAGAAGGTTCCAATCAAAAAGAGCTTAAGAAAAAAAAAGAATTTGTACACTTTCCTTTCTGTCTCGAAGGGTCATTCATATCAAGATGTGCAATATTTTTCAGCAAATAAATTCTTTCATTTTTCTGTGAAACCAGAGAATATGGAAATCTCTCTTAAAGATATAAAAAGAAAGACGTAGGTAAGCAAGACATGCCCCAATCAATAAATATTGACTAAGTACCTCCTATGTGCCAAAACCAACCAAAATGAAAAGTTGAGCTAGCTTATTACTCTTAATCTGTTCTTCTGTTATCATAAGCAATATATATGTCTGTAAATTTAACCAAAAGATAAATACCAATAAAAGTTAATAATTCATATTTTTCTAGGGCACATATCACTCTATGACAGTAAGTTGGGTACTGAAGAAAAAGTCTTATTAACATTTTCTGGGGATTAAAATACCATGTAGGTGTATTACAAAATAAAGACAAGCCTGTCATATATCATTAATATACCTCCCACAGGATATGGGATTTCTTACATGCTGTAAAAGTAAATTAGTACAGTATTTCTTATTAGAAATTTGCCAATACCCATCAAAATTGTCAAATTAAAAAAAAACTGCATACTCTTTGACACAGCAATTATACTATGAATTTTACTAAGAAAAGGCATTAAATATGCAATCAGAAATTTAGCTACAAGGGTATTTGTTATAAGATGAAAAATTACTCTCAATTTCCAACAATATTATAAAGTATAATATGGAATAAAATATATTCCACATATTGGAAGTAGTCACTTATATTGTAGAAGAATATTCAATGTCAGAGAAAAAAACTTCTGTTTCCAAGTAGGACACAGTAGTTTACTTGGAAGTCATCACTCCTACAACAACTAGGGGGAAAAAGGATACATTTAAAAAACATATTTTTATAGATATTGGAGATCTACAGACATACCAAAAAAATCCTTGAAATAAAACTCCAGAGAGGTAAGAGCCCTTCCAAATTGCTGTTGGCATCAATAATGGTATTTGCTGATTCTGGGTATAAGATTAGATTTGGGTTTGGTATATGCAGAGAAAGTCTGCCTTACTTGAAACTTCACCAAAAAAAAAAAAAAGAGAGAGAGAGAGAGAAACTAGTGGATTTCTTGAGAGTTGCATGGGTTAGCATGACAGAGTGAAACTGGAGGAGCCCCAGACATGTAGCCAGTTTTCTCCATAGGGCATTTGTTGAATGCTTTATACGAGGTTGGGAGGAGCTGGGCTGGGGCAGCAGAGTGAAATCTCCTGAAGACCGTCAGTGCTTAGGAGCTAAGTCCCACTAGGGGAAGAGCCTGCAACAAATATACAACAGGTCTCCCCCTTAAGAATTTTTCCAAATTTGGAGCTGTATGATGTGGGAGACTAAAGAGCTAAATTGAAATTCCAAAGGATAGATAATACCGATTTCCCACAGTACTTACGGGATAAGGAGACAGAGAACTATAACGCTCTCAATCAAAATCCCAGGAGGGCCAAAGCCAGAAAGCAAGGACAAAATAGAGACAGACTAAACTAAAACCCAGATCCAACCAAATCAATTCCATTTGTTGAGTACTCAGCTCCTTATTCTATCTGGCTAAGAGAAGAAAGGGAGAGCTTTCTGTGAGAAGAAATAAAATCATCTTTAGTCCCAATGATTCTTAAATACAAAATATATAATCTGGCATATAGTAAAGAATTATGAAACATGCAAAGAGCCAGGAAAATGTGGAAAATGTGACTGATAAACAAGAGCAAAAACTGACAAAATAAGCTAACGCACAGATAATTCAGATGTTGGAGTTTGTAGACAAGGAGTTTTTTTTTAAATCATTAAAAATATGGTAAAGAAAACAGAAAAAATATAAACAAAATTGGTGAAAAGATAAACAATTTCAACAGAGAGTTGGAATCTAAAAAAAATGATCAATAATATAGAGCTAAAATTTGCAATATCTGAAAATAAGAACTCATTGTATGGGTTTAACAGCAATACTAGACCTAGCAGAAGACAGGTTTGATGAACTCAGAAACAGATGAAAAGAAAGTATCCAAACTAAAGTAGAGAAAGAAAGAAGAAAAAACAAAAACAACAACAACAACAAAAATCCACACACACAACAGAGCATAAGCGGTATGTGGGACATAGTTAAATAATCTAACATCTGTATTACTGTCGTTTCAGGAAAAAAAAGAAGAGAAAATGGGACACAAGAAAAATTTGAAGACATAATGACCAAAACTGTTCTAAAACTTACGAAAAGCGTCAACCTACAGATTCAAGGGGCTCAGCAAACCTCAAGCAGGATGAAATAAAACATTATATTCTTACAGAAATAACATGTGCCTTCTACATTTGTTAACATTCCCCCCACCCCCGCAAGCTATTCTCATAAGCACGCTATGTTAACTTTTTCACAGCAACATGTAAATACAAAATTGGCATAGTGGCAGGTATGAAAATACCTCACAGGGGGAGGGTGCAGCTGGCAAACAAACGTAAAGGCACACATTATTTAAGTAAAAATATGATAATCACAGTCTAAATGCAGAAATCAAAGACAGAAAAATTTTTAAATCAGTAGGTTACCTTCAAAGGAGTAATAAAACTTGAGAGCTGACTTTGCAACACAAACTATGAAAGCCAATGGAATGACATTTGTTGAGTGATAAAGAAGAAGGGGAAAAAGGTAAAGAAAGAAATTGGGGTAATTTGTTGCCAGCAGATAACACTACAAAAAAATACTACAAGTACTTCCTTAGGCTAAAGAAAAATGATCCAGTTAGAAGCACTGAACAACTGAAAGAAAGAGCATCAGAGGGTAAGTACGTGACTAGATAAAACAAAATCCTACTTAAAAGTTACTGAATATTTAAACTGCTAAAGTTTCTTTCTTTGTTCAGGAAGGAGTAAAGTGAAAATTTAATAAGGCAGACTGTAAAAGTTAAAGATGCAGATGATAATCACTAGGGTACTTCTGAAAGAATTATATAAAAATATTACTAAAGAGCTGATACAGGAGAAAAAAGAATAACAAAAAATACTATATTAATAAAAATAAGGCTGGATGGAGGAAAAAAGGAACAAACAGCATATGAGAGAAACAGAAAACAAACAGCAAGATGACAGACATAACCCCAATTATCAGTTTCCACAAACGTAAGTGACCTGTTTAACAACAACAACAAAAGACTCAACTATATGTATTTACAAGTGACATACTTAAACCTAAGGACACAGATAGGATGAAAGTAAAGGAATGCATGAATCTATATCACACAAACACTAACCAAAAGAAATATGTTGTGCCTATACATTAATACCAGATATGTTGACTTTAAGGCAAAAAGTATCACAAGAGATAAACAGGGCCATTTTATAACGATAAAAGGGTAAATTCAACATGAGAACTTAAAAATCCAAAATATACTTATTAATCTGGTTTCAAAATATATGAAGCAAAAACTGACATAACTAAAAGGCAGACAAATAAATCCTTCCAGAGAAGGCTCAGCTCTGCAATTCGTTCTCTTCCTTCTGGGACTCAGCCTGAAGGGAACAGTCTTCTCT